TATATATAAATATAAATATATAAATACAATATGTGAAGACATCTTATTGGTTTTTATTTGAAACAATTTTTAGGCTTGTTTTTGGGTATCTGTGCTGCCTGTAATGTATTGACCTGTTTTATAGGTGCCTTTTTATTAAAAAGACAAATTTCAAAACCTGACCCTGTGCTTGTCTTCAGCGGCAGTGGGATTGTCTGTGCCCTGGGAGCGGGTGAGCGGAGCTGAGCTCAGCCGGCATCACCTGCAGCACGTCACAGCGGGACCAGGGCTTTCAGGAGTGCGGGGAGAGCCCCTTCTCTGCAGCACTCCCAGGTACACGTTCATTCATGCGCTCCCCAGTGCACGCTCCGCTGCCCGCCGCAGCGCGCGCGTAGCAGGATGCTCTGCTGCAACACCCCAGCTCCGTCTCCTGGGAGGCCGTGGTGCCCCATGGGAACTGCGGAGCAGCGTGCTGTTGTGGGGGTCTGTGTCCCCCTCTTTGGGGTCGCTGCAGCAAGGACTGGGGCTTTCTCTGCTCTTTGGGGAAGGTTCTGCCCGCTCTGAGCCAAGCCTTGTCCAGGTTGGCTGGGCCAAATGTGGGCATGAGCATGGTCTCCATGTGCAAAGAGCAGTGCATGTCACAAAGGTGCCATCAACCTACTTAGTGCTCTCTGAGGCGTTTCCCTTGTGAAAGTGGTATGACAAAAGGCAACTGCTTACACGCACTATACATGAGAAGAGGATATTTTATTTAACTGCTTATTACAGCCCACCTCAAAATTTATAAAAGTTTTCCAAGGTATCAGTACTAAAAACTGTAGTAGTGAATGGATTACACATCTATTCTTCTTACGTTGACTGCAGATTTCCTTGTTACCTCGTGAACACTGTGAGACTTTGACACTGTGACCGTTCGTTTTGTCAGTACCGTTTTTGTGCAGGAACACAGTTCCCATCAGAACCAGGGCTGGGGAGGTGTTTGTAATGTGTCTGCAATGGGTTTGCTCACGGGTAAGACCGTGGACCTAGACAGCAAGGGCAGGCTTCAGAGAGCTGCTCTGCTGCTGCTGCTGCGCATACATGCTTGGGTAACTACGGTCGCCATTACCTGCAGGTTTAGGCTTTGAAGATGCAGTGCTGCAGGAAATGGTGGAGGGCTCTTTGTGTAAAAGCCTTACGCTTGGGGAGTTTTCTCCTTGAGTCACAGGTTGAGAACGAGCTACTGAGATCTCTGCCTGAGTTGGACTGATGTAACGTGACCCCTTCCGTAACGACTGGTCTTTTTAGCAGGGCCCTTGGGTACAGGGAAGTTCAGCTGCAGCCAAGCCCTTTGTTAGTGGGTTGAACTTCAGAACTGAGTTGTGCGAAAAATTCCTGCGTTAAGAGAACTGACGTTGTTCCCACTTTGCTTAAACGGTGAATGGCAGAGCACTGTGTACCTGTGCCATTGGAGTGAGTTCTGCATCCCCCACGTCTTGTTCCAGCTGCCATGGCCAGTGAGTCCCGCTGCCTCCTTCAGGCACACCTCTACCAACCCTAGCCAGTGAAGTGGAGACCCACTTAGCTTTTGTCCTCAGTCCATTGACTTGGCTGAGCTTCTTTCCTTGCCTCTAGCACCCCAGCCTTGTGCCTGGCTCCATGCACAGGATGCCTGCAGGCAGTTTCGTGAGGGAGAGGTGGAAACGTCAGGTTCAACCCACTCGGGCCGGCATGACCACTGGACAGCCAGTGTTCACCGACAGCTGCCAGGTGGATTTCCACAGGCATGAGAACCAGGAGGAGCCAGGGAACAGTATCTGTTGGGATTTGGGTGTCGGGTGGCTGTCGGACCTCAGTTTCCTGAGGACTGAAGAAAGAGGTGGGATGCTTGTGAAACTCGGGACTGAGGCCACACGCGTGCCACTGGGAAGGCAAGCCCCAGGCGATTCTGCCCTGCAGGCAGCTCTTCCCAGCTAGAAAGTGGAGATAGAGGTGGTGTTGTCAGACTCGATGCCGCTGCCCTTCCTCGTCACCTCCAGGATCTCCTGCAGGGTCTCATGGTTTATGCAGCCAAGCTCCTGCAGGATCCGGAAGAAGTCGTTACGGAACTTGACTCCAACAAAGGCGTAGAGGATGGGGTTCAGGCAGCAGTGCGTGAAGCCGATGGCCTCCGTCACCATGATGGCCATATCCAGCTGGTCTTCCAGGAGGCAGTTCTTGGTGAAGGCTTCTAGCTTGGTAAGTGTGTTCAGGAAAATGACAATGTGGTATGGGCTCCAGCAGAGCAGGAAGACGCCCGTGACCAGGATGGCCACACGGACAGCCTTCTGCCTCTGCAGGCGCTGGGACTGACACAGGGCCCGGACAATGGCCACGTAGCAGTAACCCATGACCAGCAGGGGCATGAAGAAGCCCACGGCGTGGTAGAGGAAGCGGGTTGCCAGCCAGGCATTGTTGCCATCGATCCCAACCTCTGGAAAATAGCAGATGCTGCGGTTGCTGTCATCCGTCCAGACTTCCATGAAGATGAGATCGGGTAAGGTCAAGAGCAGCGAGCAGAGCCAGACAACCGTGCAGGTGAGGTGGATGGAGCGGGCTCTGCGCTTGCGGTAGGTGTGGATTGCGTAGACGATGGCCAGGTAGCGGTCCACGGCGATGCACCCAAGCAGCATGCTGCTGCAGTAGAAATTGATCTTGTGGACAGCACTGAGGATCTTGCAGAGGAACTTCCCAAATACCCACCCAGCCAAGCTCTCCACCACGCTGAAGGGGAAGGTGAGCAACAGTGCCAGGTTGGCCAGGGTGAGGTGGAACAGGAAGGTTTCTGTGGTAGTGCGAGACCGCTTGAACCTTTCTAAAATGACCAGGACCAGGGCATTGCCCACTGTCCCCAGCACAAACATCAGTAAGTAGATGAGGGGCATAAAGACCTTTCTGAAGGGGTCTCTGTGGTTGCCAACCACAGATGAGGCTGGGTTGAAGCAGAAGTAGCCCTCCAAAGAAGGGGTGGTGTTCTCAGCTTCATAGTAACCGCTCAGCTCCACCTGGCTCTGGGGAACAGAGAGGCTCTGGTTAACAGAGGGGAGTTTCTGCACATGAGAGCAGAGCAGAGTATCCCCACATCCCGCAGCCTGCCTGCCTCAGGAGGATGTGCTGCATGTCTGCAGTGTGATGATGTGGGAAGCCCCTCTGGTGCCAGGAGGTGCAGCAGCACATGAAGAGTGTTGTCCTGACCTCCAGCAGCGAGCACTGCTTAGTCTGTAATCTTTACCTAGTGCATTTGGGCATGTTCTGGTGTCCAGGCAGACGACCAGTTTCATCTTCTGGTTCTTTCCGGGTAACAAACCACGTTACCTGCTGGTTGGTGGCTTTTACTTTCTCTCGCAGCACGGAGCCCTCCCTCACCCATTTCTGAGTCTGACTGTCCCCCACCCTGTCCTGCCTGCTCCCTGCTGCCAGGTACAAAGGTGGTGGTACTCAGCACCCAGCACATCTGTACCCAGGCTACATGCGCAGATCCTGTCCCCTTTTTCCTCTACTCCTCAGAGACCTCAGAGCTGCCCGGGGCAAGGCAAGGTGGGGACAGCAGTAGCGGTGCTCGGGATCACTTTCCATGCACTCGGAGAAGGACGTGGGGCATGTGTTCAAATACCTCTGAGGCACGTCAGTGTCATAGCTATGGGGAGGGATGCTGGAGAGAGAAATCGGTTCTGCTGGTAAACCTTACAGTTCTGAATTAACTGCAGTCAGGGCAGGAAAGGGAATCTGAAAACACCACTGGGCCCCAAGGCTGACACCAGCGAGGAAAGTGCGATGGAGCCGCCGCAGATGTGGTTCACGCCTGACCAGCAGCAGCTCCTCACCAGGAGAGCAGCCTGTCCTCAGGCTGGGGCTGTAGGCAAGTCCCGAGTGCTGGGAAGCTGGAGCCACACTCGGGACAACCCCAGGGATGGTGGCTGTGCTCTGCCTGGCTTTGGGTGCCGTGCAGAAGCTTGTGTTCACAAAAGCAAAGGGCTCGGGCACAGACGAGCGGCACAGGAGGCTTGTGTCAAGCTGATAAGTGGAGAGAGAATGGCAGCAGTCACCCTGAGCTCCCCACACGCACCCTCTCTGGAGACCAGTGTGGAGACTCCAGTGTCAACCACAGCGGAAGCCTCTGCTTGCTGCTTTCATACCTTTCACTGCCAGCTGTGGCTGCCGGGGACTTCCGCTCCTTCCAGCTGTGGCTGCTGGCACCTGCTGCTCCTTCCCTCGCCACCCCAAGTTCCCAGCTCTAAATACCAGCCCTGCTTTAAACAGTTGTAGAGCTGATCAGGGGGTTTTGCTCCCCCGTGTACTCCTAAGCCAAATGGCAATGACCAGCCTCGGGTCCTGCACTGTGCCTGCCTAAAGTAGGGGGATTTATGTGTTTTCTTTCTCAGGCAACCTTCCCAGGCAACACACTGGGTGCCTCTGCATGCAACTGCCTGGGGTAAAAGAGGTGACGCTGACCAAAACCTCAAACACACATCAATGTCTTTGCTGACTAGCGGTGGAGCTGCAAGCCTTTGGTGAGAAGCATTTTTATTCCCAAGGAACAGTAAGTTTTCTGGTTTAGGGTATGACTTTGGAGATTGGAGATTGCTGCCAAAGACAAAAGTCTGCAGAAATCCCTCCCGGACAGACACTGGCTGCCTAGTTTGCACCCAGACCCCACATCAAGAGTTACCAACACACTCGGAAACCTGTGATGTATTGGCCAGGGCCTGATCCTTGAATCTGGCCCCCCAAAACCACAAAGCAACCCAAGAACCTCTGCAATGCGGTACAACAAGCAAACCAGGCTGCTCAGGCCACGCGGGTGACCATGCTGAAAACCCAAAAAGAACATGTGTTGGAAGGGGAAACTTCCCTAGAGAGAGGTTGGAGGGTTTCAGCTTTAAAGGGGTAAAATAACAACATGATGGGCAACGGATGGCTCCGGTGGCCGGTGTCAGAGCGCTGCCTCAGTGCAGCGGGCGGGCAGCCTGCACAGTGCGCAAGGGCTTTGGCTGATGAAGGGTTTCCAGCATCACCTTGCCTTTGGAGCTGAAGGAGCGGAGGCTGAGCACCACTATCAGGACACCATCTGCTTGCTGGCAGTAAGCAGGTAGGGTTCTTACCGTAAGCCACTCACTGTGGGCAGGGGAAGCGTGTGCTGAGCTGCGCCTGAGGCATCCTCTCATGTGCATCTCTGAGCAGCGATGCACATGAGCGACTGTGGGTGGGAGCGGACAGAGATGAGTTGGAGACAAAGAAAAGAGAACGAAAAGTCAGAGTCCGGGCTGAGACAGGAAGGGCAGGGACCCAGAGCTGCAGGAGATGCACTGAATGTACCAGGCCAAGGCTTCTGGGGACTCTGCTGTGACTCCCAGCTCTAGGGCTGGAGGCAGGAGGCTGGAGAAGGCAACAGCGTGTGTGTGCAGGGGCATTGATACAAGTCCCCTGCAACGCAACTGCAGCCAGATTTTTGGAGGGTGACAAAGTGGCATCTTTTTCTGCAACTGAGCAGTCAAGCGCATGCCAGGGAAGCCCACTCCTGCATGCTCTTTGTTCAGGGATCCCTTTTCCCCTCTAACCCACATCCCAAAGCTACTCCGGTCTCCGCATGCCAGCTGCTTTTCTCAGTTCCCCACAACCACCAGCAACCAAAACATTTGGCTGCAGAAGAGAAGCAGCTTGTGTACCATTAGGGATCTTCCATGTGAGTCATTCCCTTCCAGCCCATGCCATGGCTGGGAGAATCACATTGCACTCCCAGAGCCTTAAAGCTGGAATTGCCCACACCAGCGCAAGTTACTGACAGAGCTTCTGCTCATCCCCTCTCTGGGTGCTGAACTAGGGAAACACACAAATAAGAGCAAAGCCCCTGGAAATGCCACAGTGCCTTATGGAAGCTCCCAGGGAAATGGATGTCACAGGCTCCTGAGCATGGGAAGTCTGAGAAAAGGTACAAAACTGCACATGCACAAAACTGCACACGCACACAACAGCACCTGACTGCTGGTTCTTTACAGAAACTAAACAAAACCTGAGGTCTGCTGCAGAGAACCACTGTATTACAAAATAAACTCTGAGCTGCAGCATTTGAAAACCAGGCTAATGATAGCGCGGCTCTGGACTTCCCCTTGGATAGCACGCCATACTCTAAAAGGTGCAGCTGCTGTCTTGCACTTGCAGACGTGGGGGAGAGAACTATGGGAAAGAATACACAGTGTTGTCGCTCCCCATTAGAAGAAGTACTTGCAGTTTATCTTCCCCTCTTTAAAAGTCCCCTCTTGTGCAAATATACTGCTTATTCCCCTTTCTGCAGAGCCTACATCAGCCTGTTCGTGGAGAAGGCAGGGGTTGGAGCATGTGTGGTCGTACCCAAGAGTTTTCATGGGCAGAGAGCTCGCACTTGGTTTGCTTGGGCATTGCTCTCCACCAGCACAGTGTGATCACTTGCAGTCCCTTCATCGGTCAAGTCTTAAGGGATGCAAGGGCCAATTGTGCTGGCCTAAGAGATCACTCCCCCTCTGCCAACAGGAGGGACAAAAGGTGCACGGATAGAAACAAGGCCTTTCAGCCCACCCCAGCTCTACCTGCTCTCCCTGATACGAAGCAAAGCCGGGCCTGACTCACCAAGTCATAGGTCTCTGATGAGTAGCTGACAGGCCCCATGGTTTCAGGGGAAGAATCCGTCTGTCCTCCAGCAGTTTCAGTAAAAGTTCTTTTTTGGGGTGGAGTTAACCATTTAAGTGTGTAGGGAGGGACCTAGCAAGCAACAACAGAGTATTTGCAAGGCAAATTAGCTCCTGGCATAGAGTGACCTGATTGATGCAAAGATTAGCATCTGGCTTTATTATCTTTTTTCTAGTGCTGCAAGCTGATTTTTAAAGTAGTTTGAAGAATCCACCTGCATTTGGTCCGTACTAGACAAGGTCCAGAATGTCCATAGGTCTTCTTTAAAAAGAAAGAGGGACGCCCTGGGTGGGAGAGGTGCTGACAAGGGAGCCGTGCATCAAGGACGATCTCTTTGCATCAGGGGACAGCAGCTGAGGACGCGGCAGCAGCCCCGCAGCCGAGAAGGAAAGAAAGCGGTAAAGGACAGGGCTGCGCTGATCTTATTTCCCACGAGAACCGGGCAGGAATAGGTGGAATTACTACAGCAGACGGGTCACCGGGGCTGATGGCAATGACTGCTGCGGTGGGCAGAGGAGGGAGCAGCGTGGCATCTCCCTCCCACTGCATCCCGCAGACCTCCCGTGGCCCCAGGACTCGCGTTTTGCTGTCGAGGGCATGGATGAACAACCTGAAGCTGTCAGTAGATGCGAGGAACTAGGAAAAGAACAGCCCATGCGAGGGGAAACGAGGAGGTTTCTCTTTTTGTCCGTGCTTCAGTAAAAACGCTTTAACAGAAGTTTGTGTGCGGCACAACTAGGGGGTTACCAGCATTTTTAGGCTGGTGTTTAAGACCACATTCCTGTTGCGCCTCAGTTTGTCGAGTCCTCGGTTAAGTAACAGCTCCCTAAAGAGGAAGTGTCGATTCCGAACCCGTCTCGATCGGCGTATGCCTCAGTCTATGTTTTAATGTCACGTGCGTGCGGTCACTGGAACGCGGCTGACACCGGAGCCGCGGCAGCTCTCCGGGCTGCTCTTCGGGAACAGGAAATGTTCCCGTTATCTCTGCTGAGAGGCCCAAGATGCGAGCGGTGGGGCCGCTCCTCCCTGCTCCGCCCGCGCTGCCCTCGGGCTCTG